TATCGGCATTGTATTCATAATTTCAATAACAATATTTAAGGATAGCTAAATTTTCAGGTCTGTAGATAGCATCATAAAGATTTTCATATTCTTTGAACATAGATTCAATTTCATAAGCACCCATAAAAGCAACAAATTCTTCTATTTGTTCCACATCATAGTAGTCATATATACCTCTAGCATAAGAAACAAAAGGTTCATTATCATTAAATTCACATGAAAAGGAAAGGTGTGGAGCCTTCATCCTAGAGCAACAAGTATAATCATATCTCAAGCATAGTTTCCTAGCATATCAATACAACATATAAATTTGATTACATAATAGTTTCCCTTTTTGAGTCAAGCGACAATCCCTAAAGTATTCATGTTAATCCAACGTGTCTCCCATTACCAAATTGAATGGGGTTTTCTCTGGATTATCAAAGTAGTACATAATATCTGTCACATAACGAGCATCGATGGTTTTAGGAGGTTCCTCATCTCCATGAGCAGCAAGTACACCTATTTTTTTTGGTATTTCATGTTTCATATCCATAAATAAAGATAAAGAACGACTAAGAACAGCAAATAAAAATTACTTAGTGATAAAGCAAACAAGCACACACGAGAATATTCACCCCACGCTATTGCTCCCGGCCACGGCGCCAGAAAAAGGTCTTGATAACCCACATGTATAGGGGATCACAACAGTTTTCGATAAGTAAGAGTGTCGAACCCAATGAGGAGCTAAAGGCAGAACAAATATTTCCTCAAATTCTATCGACCACCGATACAACTCTACGCACGCTTGGCGTTCGCTTTACCTAGAACAAGTATGAAACTAGAAGTACTTTGTAGGTGTTGTTGTATAGGTTTGCAAAATAATAAAGATTACGTAAATAAAAAGTAGGGGTTGTTTAGATAAAGACACAACTAAGTTAGGTTTAGTAGAGAGCTTTTTGTTACGAGAAAGTTATTTGTCCCTAGGCAATCGATAACTAGAGCGGTAGTCATTATTGCAATTTTATTTGAGGGAGAGGCATAAGCTAACATACTTTCTCTACTTGGATCATATGCACTTATGATTGGAACTCTAGCAAGCATCCGCAACTACTAAAGATCATTAAGATAAAACCCAACCATAGCATTAAAGCATCGAGTCCTCTTTATCCCATACACAACAACCCCCTTACTCGGGTTTGTGTTTCAGTCACTCACGCAACCCACTATAAGAGAATCATGAACGTATTGCAACACCCTACAGCGGGGATCCCTCACGCTTGCACGACACAGAGAGCACCATAGGACAGCACCAATAATAAAACATGCAACTCAAATCAATCTTGATCATCAAATAGCCCATAGGACAAAACGAATCTACTCAAACATCATAGGATAGCCATACATCTTTGGGGAATAATATATAGCATTGAGCACCATGTTTAAGTAGAGATTACAGCGGGTAAGAGAGAGGTTACACCGCTGCATAGAGGGGGGAAGAGTTGGTGATGATGGTGGTGAAGTTGTTGGTGAAGATTGCGGTGATGATGATGGCCACGGCAGCGTTCCGGCGCCATCGGAAGAGAACGGGAGAGGGGGGCCCTTCCTCTTCTTCTTCCTTGACCTCCACCCTAGATGGGAGAAGGGTTTCCCCTTTGGTCCTTGGCCTCCATGGCATGGGAGAGGCGAGAGCCCCTCCGAGATTGGATCTGTCTCTCTATCTCTCTCTGTTTTTGCGTTCTCAGATTCTACCCTTTCATCGTTTCTTATATTCCCGGAGATCCGTAACTCCGATTGGGCTGAAATTTTAACACTATCTCTATTCGGATATTAGCTTTTTTGCGGCGAAAGAAGGGCACCAACCGCCTTACGAGGTGGCCACGAGGGTCAGGGGTGCGCCCCCTTGCCTCGTGGCCCCCTCGAGCATCGTCTCGCGTGGATTTTTCTTCCCAAAAATCACATATATTCCAAAAAATAATCTCCGTCCGTTTTTATCCCGTTTGGACTCCGTTTGATATGGATATTCTGTGAAACAAAAAAGCATGCAACAAATAGGAACTGGCACTGGGCACTGGATCAATATGTTAGTCCCAAAAATAGTATTAAAAGTTGCCAAAAGTATATAAAAAAGGTAAATACACCAGGAGTCATAGAACTTGCACGCGACAGTCAGTTCGGTGCATAAACTTGTAAAATACGTGTTTTTGGTCATCAAACTTGCGTGGACGTGCAAATACGGTCACATTTCCTGTACACGAATGTATTCACTGCCTACATGGCATGCCAGCATGGCCGGGGCCCATTGTCAGTGGCTGAAGCATTGTGCATGTGATATTTTTTATAGAAACACCCTCAAGTTTTTTTAAACTTCGTACAAAAGCCCTCCAACACAGGTAATGTTTCCGTCTAAATGCAATCCCTCCGTGGGGAAGTATGGTGTGAAGGAGAGAGGCCGCGATGGCGAAGGTGAGGTGGGCGTCATCCCGTTTTAAAGGAGAGGACTCCAGCGAGAAATGTCTCACTACGGCGAAAACCGAGCGGAAGGGGAGGGCCCGACAGGAAAACATAAGGGTGTGTCATGGGGTGGAGTTTTTATGTTGCTACACTAGATCACGGGAACCTGCCATCGACCTTGAGGTTGGTGTATGAGAGAGAAATAAGTTTCAATATTAATAATTTGTCTGATTCATTTATATACAGTATAGCCTGTAGCAACGCACGGGCGTTTTACTAGTTTGGACTAGAAAATAGGTTTGAGGGAATCCGAACCATCGACTAGCTGTAATAACGCTAGAGTACCAAGCACACCACCGTTGTTGTTTACACGGACTACCAATGTGTAGATCCTTTAGGCTAAATAAAGGTACACACTTAGAATTATATTTTCTTTTCTCAACATTTTTAAATTTAAATTATTAAAATTTGAACATATTTTCCGCTGATTTGTCTGAAAGGAAATTACGGACATTCATTCTGCACTATATTTTGCTTTTTAGATTTTGTAACTTAAAATTATTAGAATTCAAGCAAATTTTTAGTTGACTTGTTTGGAAAATTTACGTAAGTTCATTCTGGCCTATATTTTTCAATCTAGTTTTCCAATTAAAAATTATTCGAATTCAAACAAAATTCTGTTGATTTGTTTGAAAGAAATTTATGTACATGCATTATGGACCATATTATCTTTTGTTTGGGTTATTCAAATTCTTAAAAAGGTTGATTTGTCAAAAACAAATGCACATTCATTCTTACCTATATTTTCTTTAATCAAGATTTTTAAATTTAAAGTTATTCGAATTCAAACAGAAATTTCTTTCGATTTGTCCAAAGGAAATTATTTACATTCATTCTAAAGTACAATTTATTTTATCTAGGTTTTTTCATTTAAAAGTATTTGATTTCAAACAAAAAATTAGTTGATTTGCCCGCAAACATACATTCATTCTGCACTATATTTTGTTTTATCTAGATTTTCTAATATATTTTTTTGAATTCTAAGCGCATCTCTAGCAAATCCCTCATATCGCGCCGACCCATAAAATAATCGCCAGTTTACGGTTTTGCGCCAAAAAGTTGTCTGAACAAACACTGTAAACACACTATAAGGGTCCGCATATAAGGGGTCTGCTATAGATACTCTAACGGAAATTGGTTGATTTGTCCGTAAAAAATACATGCATTCATTCTGAAAAATACTCAAATTCAAATGAGAAATCTAGTCAATCTGTCCAAAAAATATATCTAGAATATAAGTTGTTTTCTTACATAGAAAAAACAATAGCAAAATACATAAGATAAATTGTGTTTTCTTTTTATGTGTCATTGTGGCCGGACGGTTCGAACTGGGGCTTCCTTCTTTTCACGAACCCTTTTCTTTGATTTCTATTTTAATTAGAACAGTCCTCGTATATAAAGCTATTTGTGCACATTAGACGTCAAACATCAGTTAGCCGATTGGCGGGCAATATGCATGCGAATTGCAGGTGTGGTCGAATCCCATCCATACTGATCCATCTTTTTTTCCGTTTTATTTCAGAATTTTCTGTGTAAAAAAATGAAATGCAAGGGTACTTTTTGAAAAAAAAACGCATGCACATTACCCACCTCCTCGGCCACTGACAGCGGGCCCATGTAATGTTGGCACGCCGCGCATGCATGTAATACGCCCAGCTACGGTAGAAAGCACCGTATTTGCACGCCCACGCAAGTTTGATGACTAGAAACATGTATTTTATAAGTTTATGCACCAAACTGACCGTCACGTGCAAGTTTTATAACTGCCCGTGTATTTACCTCTATATAAAAGTTGTAGAATATTGACATGGAACAATAAAAAATTATAATTTCGACGGAGACATATCATGACTCTAGAAAGAGATTATTTCCCTCGTGCAATAATGTATCCTCATGTCCTTTTATTAGCATTTCCGTTGACACAGCCAAGAGACTAGAAGACACGCTTATTTACGGCTAGTTCAGCCACACACACACACACAAGTCATCTCAAATGGAGATGCTGTTGGGGATTCCCATCTCCATCACCATCTTCTCGTCCGTAGGATCACCGTCCGATGGCCTGAGCAGCACATACGGCACCATGCCGGCGCCGTGCCGGTTTTTCCGGTCGGGGTCGTTGTTCCACTCGTCCACCTGCTCCACGATGTCCCTAGTCCTCTCCTTGAACTTGTCAAATGCCTGCCTGATCACCCCATCCTGTTTCCATGACGGCTCTTCGTGCGTGCCCATGTACTCCTCATCCGACGAGTGCGTCGACAGGAGGTCCAAGATGGCAAGGACTATGGCACTCTGGTACTGGGACGGGAACGTGTCCAGCAGCACCTTCTCCGGCGCCTCCACGAACGCGCGCATGTCGTCGCCACCCATCTCGGTCGGCATGTTCCTCCGGGCCATGGTCGGGCGGTTGGGGATGTACCCGGCCATGGGGTACTGCCCGAAGTTGACGGCGGCGTGATGCGCCGACGTGACCCACATGATGGTCGCCAGGGCCTGCGCCAGGTTCTCATGGCTGTCCAGCTCGGGCCACCACGGCTCGTCCTGCTTGTCGGCGTGGCCTTTGGTGCGCACCTCGGTCCACCAAGCCTGGAGCTCCTCGTCATCGACGATGTCCGCGGTGCACGGGTAGTAGTGCTCCACGTAGGTCAACGCCCACTCCTTGATGGCGTCCCAGATGAGCAGGCCGTCGTTGGCGTAGGGGTAGTCCTCTATGGCCAGCTCCAGCTCGCCATTCTCCTTCCTGACCGCCATGCCCCTCCGGATGAGGTCTTCCGGCAGGGCCTCCATGTCGAACCGCCACTGCTGGTCGTAAGCCACGGAGCTGAGCTCAATGGAGTACTCCCCGGGCGCGAAGGAGCCCTCGATGATCCCGTCGGCGTTGATGAGCATCGCGCGCGCCTGCGCGTTGATCTCCATGGTGAAGCGGAAGTGCGGGTGCAGCAGGCGGTAGACGGGGTGCATCTGGCTGAGCTGCCGGTTGGCGGCGATGATGTAGGGCTCGGTGCAGGCGTGCGTCCTCAGCCAGTGGCTGACGAGCTGGTGGACGCCGGCGTCGTGAGCCAGGACATGGGCCTTGGCGAGCTGCCACAGCCAGGACCCCGTGACGCTGCCGTCGCATCCAGGCGTGAAGACCTGGCGCCACTGCGGCTTGCGCTTGGACTTGGGCCTGGTGAGCTCGATGGCGATGGGCCGGAGCGTGCCGTCGGCGGTGAGGAAGAAGAGCGCGCGCGAGCCGTACAAGGTGGTGCCCTCGAGCTTGCGGACCTTGAGGACGTATGGCAGCAACAAGTCATGGTAGTCCAGCATGAAGAGCTTCTTGTTAGCCACGGCCTCCTCAACTGTCATGACACGTCTGATCTGCTCTTCAACCAGCTCTTCAGTGATGAGGGAGTCTGCCGGGCCGTAGGTTGCCTCGTCCAACTTGCTCTTGATAGGAAACTCCTGGATGCATGCATAGTTTTCATATTGAAATTGGTAAAACAATCAATGAATAATTTTCCTTTCCCTGAAAATGAAGGGAAAATGGTACAATGGCAACATAATTGTATACCGTGACTAGTTGGATGCTCAATGGGTTCATCCCTGCGATGGTTTGTCGCGCAAACTCCTCGTCTCTGAACCAAGCAAACTTGTCCCCTGCATTTCCAACATGCAAGTTATCGATCCATTAATCAAGCAAGCAAGCAAACATGACGATGAACGAAGCTCTATTGTACGTACTGTCATGAATCTCTGGCGTCTCAAACTTGAAGACCCTGCGTATCCCCTCGAGGAACGCGGCCCCTTCGAGCTTGAAGAGGTGGAGCAGCTCCGTCTCAAGCAAATCGATGACGAACCTGAGCTTCCCCCCTTCGGGCTGCACCGGCTGGTTCCTGAAGTTGTCGTCGTACAGCTTGTCAATGGCCGACAAGGAGGGGAAGCTCTGGTCCTTGTGTTTGGCGGTCTTTATGCCCGTGGTCAGGGCGTGCAGCTGCGACATGAACTTCTTGGTGTCGAAGGCTCCCATCTTGCGCTCCGTGAAGGCCTCGTCCCGGGGCACGTAGATGTGGTCCTTGTGGCTCCTCTCCTCCGAAAACGGGTCTTTCTTGCTGCGAGGGCGGCCCGTGCGGCAGCGCCGCGGGTAGGGGTGCTCCTTGCCACCCAGCACGGGCCGTGTGGTGGGGTTCTTTTCGTCGTCGGGGTTGCCGAGGTCATTGTACACATCGTAGTCGTAGATGCGGTCGTGTTCCTTGCGCTCGCCGCAGCCGGTGCCGCGGAGGATCTCGAGCTCACGCTTGCGCAACGCCTCCACGCCCTTGGGCGTCTGCGACGGAAGGTACGAGCGCTGCACCACACATATATACATGCTAAATCAGTAATGGGATCAAGAATGATGTACTCCCTCTGTCTTAAAATGTAAGACGTTTTGACGATACTAGTTGACCGACCGCGGGAAAGAAAACACGCTTGTCGGGGGTGCAGTGAGATGGGTCGATCCAGGAGTTGCAGTGGAACGTGACGGCGGACTCCTCCTGGCCGGTGGGGAAGACCTCGATGTCCCCCAGCAACATCTCGCTGTGGTGGTAGTTTGTGACTTGAACGGCGCCAATGGGTCCAAAGGATCCCGGCACCTTGAAGGTGGCCTCGTACATGTCCCACTCGTCGTCCACTCTACCTGAGTGCTTGACGGCCCCGGAGATGGGCTCCCACTCCTGCCCCGTTTCTGCACCGACCCAACAATGCATGCAAATATATATTACTATCAGTATTTTTTTCGTCTAGAATTACTTGTCGCTTAAACAGATGTATCTAGCACATATGCATGCATCAATGTATGTACCAGGGAGGTTTGTCACTCACGTGGATCCAATTCGGAGCTGACGAGGTCAACATGCAACCAAGTTTTGAGGATGAGATCGTACAGGAAATCACGAACCCCGGCTGCCTTACTCATGTGCACCGTCACCGTGGCCTTCATCTCGGTGGTCTGCGTGCGGTCCCGGACGTGGGCGTCTGGGCGGGTGACCGTGCCAACGGCCGTCCCATTGGAGTCGGACGACAAGGTGGTGGTGGTAGTGGTGGTGGTGCTGGTGCTGCCAACCTTGGACACACTGGTGCGGCGGCCATTGCCTGGTTTCCGGCGAGCCTCGGGCACCACGAACGTCCGCCGCCGGGCCGGCGACGGGGCGGCACATGCACCGCCTACCAGAGACTTCGTCGCCGTTAGCATCGTGGCTGGCTAGCCGTGCCTGCTATTGCGCTACACAATGGGACGGCCCAGGAGGATGGAGGAGTGAGAGGGCCAGAAAGGTGCACAGTGTTAGTTTCCTAAACTGCGCAACTCTGGCAAAGGAAAGGAAGTGGTGATGGAAGGATCTGATGTCGGGGAGAGTGAGCCCTGGATCCTATTTATAGAGATCGTAGTCCATGTACTCAAAATAGTTTTTTTCCATATAAATAAATAAACAAGCCAAAAGACATGTCATTTTCACTGATTACGAAAGAAAGTTTAGAGCTACTCAAAATAATACTAGCACGTACTACTACTCAAGAGAGAGAGACAGAGAGAGATGGATGGAAGAAGTATTTTAGTCATTGTTTACTTATTTATTTATGCGCATCTAGATGTTCTTTTTAAACATGCGCATCTAGATCTGAGGTGCAGGCACTACGTAGTGTAGTATCTTGCACTGTATGCATGCATACGGTCCATGCAATATGGGCTCGCATGTGCGTGTGCGTTGGAGCGATAAGGTCCCGGCGGATACGTCCGGCTCTTGGTTTTGGCTGCTACCTGGCGTGTACCCCGCGCAAAAATAGCGATGCCCGCAGGCGTGTGCCACGATTCCGCTCCAGTCCAGCGGCGGAAGGACGGACGGTGGCGACGCCTCTCGCGGCGTCACACGGAGGCGTGTTCCACGTTCTGCTCCGGCGAGCTCTCCCAGCTAGGCAGTGGACAAATATTTCTCGGGGAGAGAACGACCTCCCAGCTGCGCAGAGCCCTTGGCATCCCCATTGCGAAAGGGAATGCATGCATGGTGAATGCTTACTAATAATGGGAATGCATGCATGCATGGTGAATGTTTACCGGCTTGTTTCAAACATTTAAAACTGCTTTTCATCCGGCTGATTTTAGTTTGCTTTCATTTGAAATTTCTGGTCGCTGATCTCGCGCCGTGAGTCGTGCTGAATATTTCATCCGGCAGATTTTTTCCCCCCCGCATTCCGATAGAATTTCTAGACGTTGGATCGCGCACTGCGACGGCGATGTCATTTCGGCTTCATTCGAGATTCAGAACTTCCGTATGTTGGGTTATATCAATAGTTCCCTTCTAACCACATAATTGCTTCTTCTTTTATGCATGTGTAACCACATAAGTGCTTGTCACCAGCTTATTTTTGGGTTAATGTCTAATGTTTGAGATTTCCCTTTTCAATTGTATTATGAATTTATGCATTTTCAGGAATCGTTCTTGTTATCCTAAAATTACTATGTATAACCACATAAGTGCTTGTCACCTACTTATTTTTGGGTTATCTCCATGTTTGAGATTTCCCTTTTCAATTATATTATGAATTTATGCATTTCCGGGAATCGTTCTTGTTATCCTAAAATTACTATGATGAATTTTTAGCTTTTACTACACTTTTGAAGTTTTTCCGATAAAAGACGCAAGAAGCACCCGGCTTTAAAAATAATAAAGCCACCAAGAACATAAGGGTTAAGATGGCGCAACGAGAGCAAATGCTAATTGTAGGTTACATACCATCTCGAAAGGAAACATGCTGCGTAGGGGAAACCGGGAAAGCATGACGCGATGGGGCGCGCCCAACGACAACATCAAGTGCGGTTGCTTCTCTTGATGGAGTGGAGGTCTCTAATCTTGTGTTGTACCACTTGTGCCACTGCCACCTCGCTGTGATTCCTCTTTCCGAGAGGCCACAGTTTAAAAAAAGGACCGTTTAAAAATGTAGTCAGCAGGGTGATGCGGGATTTAACCTTCCATCGTAAGCTTATGGCGGCAGGTCCAAATGATTCTACGATGTTGCCCACGAGTATCGGGAAGGGGTGGTAGGATCTCTTAAAATGAATTGAGGTCCCAGTTACAGCCGAAGCTTTCCCGAACACAACTCCACAAGAATTTGGCTGCCGCGCATTGGAACAGGATATGATCAACGTCTTCCGGAACCCCAGAAAGTGAACACGAGCCTCTCCCAGCCCGTGACATTTCTGAAGGTTGAGGGCCGAGGGGAGACGATCTTTGGCCGCTTGCCAAAGGAAGATACAGATTTTGAGTGGGACATTTGTTAACCAGATGGCTTTGGCATAGCGGATAGGAGGCCATGAAGAAGTTTTGCATAGATAGCTTTCACCGAGGGGCAACCCGATGCTTTAAGGTCCCAATTCCCAATGAATGACGTCTCTTTCATCCAAGAGATGGACCTGGCCTAGATAAATAAGGGGGTGTTTGGTTCAGAGACTTTTTAGTCCCAGAGACTAGAAAAAGTCCCTAAAAAGTCCCTAGGAACCAAACGGGAGGGACTTTTTCTACAGGGACTAGAAAAAGACTCTACTAGAGAGTCTTTTTTGATTAGTCCCTGGGACTAGAAAAAGTCCTAGGACTTCTCAACCAAACACCCCCTAAGTAGCAGGGCTTCCTATGATATCCTCTCCTCGGTGTTAGGATTTCTGGGGAAGGAAAGATTAATAAGTTTGGGCACATCAATAAAAACGACAAAGAGATTTGGATATTTAACATATAAAGGGGTGTTATAGAGCCGTTTAGTAAGCCGAACTTTGTGTCGTCCCCATCGCCAAACAAAAAATGGGCACCCAAATTAAAGATCTCTTTGCATTTCTGGATCTGGTTCCAGAACTGGGAGCCCCCTTTTTTATGTGAAGAACGATGAGTTACAAGAGTATTTAGCATTTAAGAGTAGGGCCCAGGGACTCGTCTCGTTTTGAGGGGTCCTCTATATCTACTTTGTTAAGAGGCCAAGGGTATTTTCTTGCACTTGGTAGTCCCTAAACCTCCTTGGAATTTTAGGCACGCATATGTCCTCCCAATGGACCGTGTGACATTTGGGTTTGATAGTGTTCCCTTTCCAAACAATACAGGCGTAACTTTCTTAGACTAGCCATAGTGGGAGTAATTTCAGCAGTAACATTGAGTCCAACTCAACAAATTTGCTTATGTGGCAATGAGTTAATGCGGAGAGGTAGTCCCAGTAACTTAGCTAGTTACTGTAACATCACATGTCCCGATGCAATATGAGTCTATAACCTAATAAATGAATCTTTGCATGACACCACACTTATGTTACCACCCACTATGAAGATAGTAACATAGCCTAGGGATATGTGTATGTTACTCTTCATTGTGGCTAGTCTCAAACTGGTTGTGCGTCCCATCACCTAGAAAAAATCAACCCATCACATACTAAGAGGGTGTGGGGAGAGGCATGCATTAGTGATATTCAACCTCGCCCTCGAAGACATGAGTTTTCGTTGCCACTGGTCAACCCGTTTCTTGAACTTACATGCGATGAGCTCCCAATTAGTGTTGAAAAGGTTTTGTTGCGAGCGGGAAGCCCATGATAGGTAATGAGGAGTTTAGAAAGCTTATGGTTCAACAAATTAGCTATGCTCATCCTCATCCCCTCATCATGGTCCATAGCCATGGCGACCACTTCTCTTTTAGAGAAATTAATTTTTATTCCTGACATGGCTTTAAAACATATAATAATGATCTTGACCATGTATATGCTATGTTCGTCAGGTTCGAATACGACCAAGGTGTCGTCCGCATATGAAAATGAGAAGTCCCCCTGGAATAAGATGGGACACCGCCCCCCTCGAGGTGTCCAGCTAGTTTGGCTTTGTTCTGCATAGTAGCTAGAGAGGGTGTAATAGACAATGTCAAAGAGAAGGAGGAGATGGGCCACCTTGCCTAAGGCCACATTTGATTCTAAGAAAGGACCAACCTCCATGTTGATAATTCCTATATTTTCTTCTGTCCTCTGAAGACAAGTTGCAAAATTATATGGACAAAACTAGCATGGAAAGTGGAAAACTTTACTAAGCAAGACTTCGTGGAGGAACGACCAGCTATCTCTATCGTAGTCTTTCTCGAAATGACTGTAAGTACATGCACCACCTCATGGAGTGATAAGACGCCCTCCAAATTATGGCAACACTTAATGAAGACAATTTGACATCGACCGACAATCCTGATGGCTCTAGGACCCAACCGCTTAGCATGCACATTGACCACTAAGTTAAATAGAATGTTAATAACACAAAACAACATTGTTAAATACGATCCACCCCAGGGAATTTAGAAATAAGGGAAAGGATAGAAAATTTGATGTGTTTAACATCAATCATCCCGAGAGCAAACCCACCGATAATGCTACTAATAAGGGGCTTAATAAGACTCCAACGACGCTTAAAGAAATTATCGGGAACCCACATGAATCTAGAGTTGTGACTGTCCTCATAGCCTTGAGCGTTACACCGACTTCAACTTCGTAAAATGGTAGGGAGTTGGCCTCATTGTTGGGTAGAGCCCTTCTGGACCCCTCCATGTTGATGAGGTCAACATAGAAGTTCTAATTGTGCTCTTGGACCTTTAGCCGAGGAAATCGATTTCCACTTGATCGGAAAATACGATGTGCAGTCGATGTTTCACTCTTGCGGCCATTGTCAATGCCATGAAAATAACTCGTGTTGGTGTATCCTTTAAGTAACCCGGCTTGTGTCCGCTTTGATACTAGTAAATTTCCTCCTCCTTTTAGAGCTTGGTGATCTTGTTTTCATGGACGTATCTATGTTGCCAATCCGCCTTTGGAAGTACAATGGTGTCATCTTGCCCATTGACAGGGGAACGAGGAATTGGGGGGGGGGGGGATAAGGACCAAAAGAAGGATGAAAAGGATCAGGGTAACAAGTCAACCTAACAATCGACATATCGGGTTGCTGCTCCCCTCAAAGCTCCCGAGATTATTAGTGAGTGAATGTAACCCAAGGGGTCGCATATATAAGGTAGATCCAGGGACCCCTTTAGGGAGAGAATGTGACGCCCAGATCATCGCGGATTGCTCACGTGCGGAGCGGCAGCGTCAACAGTGGAGAAGGGCATGGTGGAGAAGCAGAGGAGGAAGAAGGGGAATGAGAAACACTGTGCAAACGCATCGGCCTCAACGCCTTTTATGGGCTCACTGCCGAGT